CTGTGTCCAGTGTGTGTGTCCAGGCTGTGGTCCCTGAGCCTGTGCTTTATCGCAGTCTGTGCCTGCTGTCTCTCGTCCGGGTTCCATGCCCGTCTCTGCCTGTGTTCCAGGCCTATCAGAAGCTCAAGGAGACGGCGAGGGACTGTCAGGCCTCCCAGCTGAAGAAGCTGAAGGACGTCTGTGAGAAGTAAGACCAATACTGGGGTGTCCAGCGTGGGGGTGATTGATCCAGAGTGGGCCCTCTTCCCCTACAGACAGTTCCCACATCTAAGTATCTGCGGCAGCCCCTGTGTGATGTACGAGGCCATGCCAGGTCTGAGCCTCCTCAGTAATGTGCTTGGTGTTCTGTCAGGTTTTGCCCTGCCTCCATAGAGTGCTGATATTTGTGAGGGTCACCCCCCTGTGAGTTCAGAGCGTGCGATACCGCACAGTCCCGCCGGCGTCTCGCAGCCCGGCCTGCTACCGTGACGCACAGAAACAGGGTCTCTAAACGCCCGCGGCTTGTTCCTGCCGCCCAGGGAGAAGAAGGAGCTGCAGAAGATCATGGATCGCAAGAGGCTGGACAGCATCACCGAGGCCAAGACCAAGGGCCGCGAGAAGGCCGAAGTGTGAGTGACCGCGCCCGCTGTCCCAGGGGGTCTGCTCCGTCGGCGCCGCCGGTTGGATTCCCGTTGAGCAGCGGTCTGATCCGCTCCAGGTTTTACTGTGCTTTAATCGGAACGCAGCCCGAGGGCAGCGTTATTTGAACGTGGTTGGCTTCTCGTGCGACTGTACTCGTGTGGGTGCTAAGCTTGACGCACAGAATGACACCCAGGCCAACTGGGAAAACCCGCAGTGGATCAGGCAGCTGTGTGGTGGGGTGCTGAGCCGTTGACTTGTGCATTTCCGTGTCTCCTGGGCAGGGAGCTGAATGAGATCAACCGCAGGCACATCATGGAGACGGTGGCACATATCCGCAAGGTGAGTCGGCAGTCGCCCGGATGAGAGAGGGGGGGAGTCCAGTCCCATCCAGTCCCATCCAGTCCAGGTTTTACCAGCTGCTGTCATGCCTGGGGTTTGTCCCAGAACACGACTGCGGGCTGTTTCGTGCGTGTTGGACCCGAGCGAAGGTCACACGCAGTTGCACACGTGCTGTCACGGTAACATTTCTGTCGGAGTGTGGGAGGTGATAAGACCTGGAGTGGATTAGGCTGCTGTGCAGTAGGAGTATCAAGTCCATCCATCCCTTATTTAACTGCTTTTCCCAGTTCCAGCGGGCAGAAGGCGGGTTACACCCTGGACGAGACACCAGTCCATCACAGGACACACGCTCTCACACACACACACACACACACCCACCCACCCTGGACGGGACACCAGTCCATCACAGGACACACACACACGCACGCACACTCAGACCAGGCCCAGTTTTCCAAGAAGCCCATTCGCCCCCCAGCATGTCTCTGGACTGTGGGAGGAAACTGGAGCACCTGAGGACAACCCACACAAACACAGGGAGAACATGCAGACTCCGCGCAGATAGGTCTGGAATCGAACCCGGGGCCCCAGATCTGTGCGGTGGCAGTACTCACCACTGTGCCAAGAAAATGAATTGTGCAGGTGGTAACAGTGCAAAGACAATGCTGGAAACTCTGGTGAGGGCGATGATGATGATGGTGATGATGGGTCTCTCGGCCTCTGTTCCAGCTGGAAGAAGCCCAGAAGAGGAGGCAGGAGGCTCTGCTCCGACAGCACCAGGAGATCCTGCAGCAGATCGACGAGGAGCTGCCCCAGGTGAGTCCAACCTGCCTGCGCTGAGCCCCAACCCGAGCTTGGGCTGTGCAGCTCGGTCCTGCTTCCCGCTGCCCAGAGGGGGGCGCTGCAGTTCAGCAGAGGTTCAGCCTAGTTTTAAAAACCGGTTGCAATTTTGGGGGCCTTGGGGTTGCAAATGAAGACCTGGTATGGATTCGTTTTGCCTCCTCCTGCCCGTCCAAAGAGCTGTTGTGATTCTCTGTCTGTTCCGGCTCTCAAACGCTGCGGTACAATCCGGTACCCAAGCCTTGAGCGGCCCGGGTGAACGTGCCCGGCGGCGTGATCCGCGGTGGTCTGGAAGGCTGTGGTCCTCTCCCGCAGAGGCAGTCGGACCTGGAGCAGGAGCTGGCGCTGGAGCTGCAGGGCCTGCCCGAGGAGATCTGCCGGCACCTGCAGGAGCAGCAGGAGGCCAGGGGCGCCCGCCAGGAGGGCCCCCTCAGCCGGACGTCCAGCGACAGCCCGGGCTCCGGCCCGCCGTCCAATCACAGCACGCCGCCCGTCACGCCCAACCGGAGCTGGGCCGGGGGGCGGAGCCTGGACAATAGCACCGCCTCCTTGGCCTCCTCCTCCTCCGGGACCCCCGTGATGTCGGAGGCGGAGCTGACGGCCTCATAGCCTCTCCCGATTCTCCCGCAGCCCCCCACCTTCACATAGGAAAGGAACGTTTTTATTCGCCTTCCCCCCCCCGAATTGGATCTTTTGGCCTGGAGAGGACTGGCCGGGCAGGTGGAGACGATCGTCCACCTGCAGGCAGTGTTTTTAATAGGCAGAGGTATTTTCCCTTTTTAGTTTTTCGTGCGGTTTAGTGTATTTGAACTCCCCCCCCCACCCCCATGCGCAGACGGGCTTTTTATTTTTAAACCTCTCTCGTCCTTTTTAGTTTTCGTTTTGTCTCTTTGCGTCTCCTCGATCCGGACAAGCTGCGGCACCTCCTGAAGCTCAACCTGAAACGTCTGCAGGCAGGATGTCCTCGTAAACCTTCATGTAGTACAGGCGCTGACTGTCCGGTTCGCCCCCCCCCCCCCGCTGACTGGACACTCAGCCCAGGGGAGCAGCGATATCGGGGGTCCCCCCCACACAAACACAGGACCCTGGGCTGGGGGGGGTCTCATACCACTGGTACCCCAGTCTTGCTGCTCCTCAGGGCCCACGACCCCAGATGTGAATCTGTCGCTGGCTGAGCCCTCCAACTCCTGTTCGATCTTCTGCGTCAGGCCCTGCGGCGAGTTCATGCGGAGGGCGGGGACAGGGCGGTACGATTTGTGGTGGGGGGGGGGCGCTGCACTCTCTCGGGGGGCTTTTTTCAGGGTGGGACCAGCTGACCAGAACCATCCAGCGTCCCGTTTTTTTGGGGGGGGCGCAGGAGATGCAGACTAAGTCCTGCTGCACAGGCCTCTCCAGGCTAACCTGGGTGCGAACCGCTGTCGAGTCTCGACGATACTGCGCGCGCGGTGCAGCGGGTTAAGACCCGGAATGGATCACACAGCTGTGCAGTGGGAGTCTGAGCGTGCCGTCCCTGCCTGTGCGCCATCTGGGAAGGTCCCTGCACTGCGGCTGCTAACTGGAGGCAGTAGGAGGGGCTGGGGGGGGGGAATCTGTTGCTGGGTGTAGTACCTCCGCTTGGCCACCAGAGGTCGCCCACGTATCTGAAGAAGCACACCTGGCGTGAAAGGAATATCTGCCCTCAGTCAGGCTCTCATCGGGGCTTAAGACAAGCCCCGGATTCGGAGGGCCCAGGTTTTTCGGCTGCCGGGAGGGACGTGGGACCCGGGGCTGGGGGGGTGTGGGGGCCTGCGAGAGGCGCCTGAGTCGAAGTCCAGCTCGAATCCGGGCAGGAGGGATCCATCCGAGGAGCGGCCCGGCTGGGGCCTCTCAGGTAAGGACGGGCTGTTCTGGGCTGCGCCGGGAGATTCCCTCTCGCGGGGAGACTCCCGTCTTCCGGTCCGCCGGAGCGACCCCTCCTTTCTCTCCTTCCTTTTCGAAGGCACGAAGAGGAGACGGAGGTGCACGGGCGTGAGCCCCGGTTTCTCTTCTCTTCCGCCCCCGAAGCTGGGCGCGAAGCAGCCGGGGGGAGAGACCCGGAAATGCAGAGGCGGGAGCAGCGCTGGGGGGACAAATTCTGGATCGGTTCCTCGCGATCCCTGCTCCCGGAAGCCCGGGGTGGATCAGGCTGCAGTTCGCCGGGAGTCCGGCTGGCGACACTGTAAAACCTGGAGTGGATCAGACTGCTGCGCGGCGGGGAATCTATCCACTTGACCTTGAATGCTGTAAAGGGGAGGGTAAACCGAGGGCGTCGGACCCGGATCCCGGAGGGTCCCGGTCTCTCCTGGGTTTTGATCCAGCCGAGCTCTGGTACGTGGCGGGCCTGGTTAATGAGCTGCTTGATTGCGATGCTTCAGACAAGGCCGGGCTGATGCCTGAGCAACAGTAGTTAATGAAGAGGGGGGTGTGCCCATCAGCTGTAAAAGACCTCGAGGAAGATGCTAGAAGCGTCCAATTAGGACAGTAACGAGCTTAATTGGGTAACCGACGACTCGGCAAAACCCGGAAGGGACCAGGCCGCTGGGGGGGGTGGGGGCGCGGGTCCGAGCGCCCCGCTGTAAACGGTACGGCGCCCCCTGTCTGTGCTCTGCTGTGCGAGCTGGGGTCCCACGGACCGGCCTGAGGGACGCTGGCGGCCCATGAGATGGGGAGGCCCGTGGGATGAGATTCCGGTCCGGTCCGGTCCGGGGGAGCTCCAGCTTCTGGACTGCGTTGTAAATGTTGAACACCTGACATGTTGTATATTTTTTTGATGATGGGATGCTTTCCTTGGGTTTATCGTCCTGATTTGTGTTTTTAAAAAGAAATTCTGCTACTGAGTTGGGGGAGGGGAGGGAGGCTTTGCGGTGGTTGGTGTTCGGACCCGGTACGCTCGGGTTTCGTTTTTACTTTAGGGAAATCGGTGTAATGGTGAGAATGTATTTTAATTTTTTTTTTTTTAAAGTAGACGTAACTCTTTTTTTTTAAAAGGAAAAAGAAAACGGACTAAAGGGAAGAGTCTCCTGCTGTACGGAAATAAGTCTCCGTCTGAATCCGGACCCTTTCCGGCCCGCGTCTCCCAGTATATCGGAAGTGGATCTTGTAACTTATTGCACTTTTGACTCCTCGCTCGGTCCCTCCGCCTCTCCCCGTGTCCGTGCCGGGGCACGGCTCCTGGCGTTCAGCTCCGGATTTGCAGTGGGATGAGTTTCTGGGCATCTCCTCCTGTAGGGCACTGCTAGGGTGGGTGGGGAGGGTGGGAGGGGATTCCCAGAATCCCAGAATCCTGTCTCTGTGGGCTTCCCACAGTGCGCTTGGCT